CCCCCCAAAAAAAAACACCTATCGTAATCTGCTAATATTGTATTGAATATGGCAATTTATCATATTCAATAATTTAACACATAAACCCCCTGACACTTAACTATAAAATATACATGCTCCAAGTCAGGAACCGTTACATTAGTGCATTTCACAATTATTTTATGTTTTTTAGCCAAACAAAGGTCCAAAGATTTGATTCTACGCCCCCTCTTTCAAATATCCTAGAAACGCCCCTGGTTCCAGCCAGCCAAACGGTATTTATAGGCTGATATAGATAAAAATTGCATACACCTGGAGTTCGTTTTTGCTGTAGATCATTATTGATCAGGTTAACGAGGTTCCAATATGGCAATATCGAAGAAATATCTGGTGTTATTATAAAAGAAAAAAAGATCTTTAAATGTTTATCATAATATATTAATCTTTGCTTGACAATGCAACCATGTAACCCTTAATTTTCATAAGCATTAAGGTTTCATGTTTGACAGCACAGGAATTTTGAATATTCTGGGGTCAGATACGACAAGTTTCATTTTAAACATTTGAAGAGTGCCTAAGGTGTGCAAACGCTCATTCCTGGTAATTTTCTATAATATATGTATATAAGGTATATATATTTAAATAACACAATATGATAACGTACTCCTGATAACAATGTGCCTGCCCTTTCATATTGATTCTTCGGTCTTTTGCGGTTTTTTATTCTTCCTGTTGATACATTAAACATTGCAGAGATAAAATAAACACTTCCTTTATTGGCCTATACCTTTGCAGCTTAATACTTAATTCGTATTGGAGAAGAAAAAATGGTAAACATATATCGTTAGTGGGAGGTAAAAAGTGTTCAACACAGATGTTTTTGATATTAAATATGATAAGTAAGAGTCAGTAATTAGTGTTTTTTTTTCTTTTCAGGCGACAAGGTATTGATGTGGGTTTACAATCCGAACACGCTTCAGTTCCGCAATGTATTGTCAGTCATGTTCGCTAATGACGCTGTAAGTTCATAGATATTGCAAAACATTGTTTATCATGCAACTTTAACTATATACTGGCTTTCGCTTTGGGTCACAGACAGGGCTAACAGTTACTGTTCTCTCTAGCCCAGTCAGTCAAAATCGACCAGATAATGCACCACTGGCATATATGTCTATATCGTAATGGCGGGTATATATGTATATATTGTAATGGTGGACATATATGTATATATTGTAATGTCGGACATATATATATATATTGTAATGGTGGACATATATGTATATACTGTTATGTCGGACATATATGTATATATTGTAATGTCGGACATATATGTATATATTGTAATTGCGGACATATATGTATATATTGTAATGGTGGACATATATATATATATATTGTAATGGTGGACATATATGTATATATTATAATGTCGGACATATATGTATATATTGTAATGGGGGACATATATGTATATATTGTAATGTCGGACATATATGTATATTGTAATGGTGGACATATATGTATATATTGTTATGACGGACATATATGTATACATGTATATTGTAATGTCGGACATATATGTATATATTGTTATGTCGGACATATATGTATATATTGTAATGGTGGTCATATATATATATATATTGTATATATCGTAATGACGGGTATATATGTATATATTGTAATGTCGGACATATATATATATATTGTAATGGTGGACATATATATATATAAATTGTAATGGTGGACATATATGTATATACTGTTATGACGGACATATATGTATATATTGTAATGTCGGACATATATGTATATATTGTAATGTGGACATATATGTATATTGTAATGGCGGACATATATGTATATATTGTAATGGTGGACATATATGTATATTGTAATGGCGGACATATATGTATATATTGTAATGGTGGACATATATGTATATTGTAATGGTGGACATATATGTATATATTGTAATGGTGGTCATATATATATATATATTGTATATATCGTAATGACGGGTATATATGTATATATTGTAATGGTGGACATATATGTATATTGTAATGGTGGACATATATGTATATATTATAATGTCGGACATATATGTATATATTGTAATGGGGGACATATATGTATATATTGTAATGGTGGACATATATATATATTTATTGTAATGGTGGACATATATGTATATACTGTTATGTCGGACATATATGTATATATTGTAATGTCGGACATATATATATATATTGTAATGGTGGACATATATATATATAAATTGTAATGGTGGACATATATGTATATACTGTTATGACGGACATATATGTATACATGTATATTGTAATGTCGGACATATATGTATATATTGTAATGGTGGACATATATGTATATATTGTTATGACGGACATATATGTATATATTGTAATGGTGGACATATATATATATATTGTATATATTGTAATGTCGGACATGTATATATATATTGTAATGTCGGACATATATGTATATATTGTAATGGTGGACATATATGTATATACTGTTATGACGCACATATATTGTATATATTGTAATGTCGGACATATATGTATATATTGTAATGGCGGACATATATGTATATATTGTAATGGTGGACATATATGTATATATTGTAATGGTGGACATATATATATATATTGTATATATTGTAATGGTGGACATATATGTATATTGCAATGGTGGACATATATGTATATATTGTAATGGTGGACATATATGTATATGGTAATGGTGGACATATATGTATATATCGTAATGGCGGGTATATATGTATATTTTGTAATGGCGGATATAAGCCCCTTTGTAAAATTATCTCACTAATCACCAGGCAGGCAAAATGTCATGGTTAACAGCCGTAACAAGATTGATGTGTCAATTATATAAAATAGTCACGTGACATGTGTACGTAGAGGACAGATATCTAAAATTTATCGAAATACATGTCGACATCTGATGCAAATGTATCACACACTTATTGCTGTGGACCAAACTAACCCTCCATAGATCATTGTAAATATCAATACTACCCCACAAAGATCAACATAAACATAAATTAATGTGGTAATTAACAGTTATAATGTTTTATATCGAATTTTTTAATTACTTATTTTTTATTTTATTTTCAGGACTTCCGAGTATTCAAGAGAATACTCCAACAGTACGTGAACGGATAATTGATTACAATTACATGTTTAATAAAGAAAATGTATAAAATTAAGTTTTTATTCATTTATTTAACTTATTTTTAAAACATACCTTTTTCGGTCCCATCAAATATGAATTATAAACTGAAAGCTGATGAGAAGCATGTGATTTAGTGATTTCTATAGAAATGCTGTTATAAAGCCGTTTTCCAATTTCATTGCAAGCTTTCAAAATTGCGAACGTAAAGTTCAATGAGAAGGTAGAAGTATATAACGGTGTCACAACATAACAGCAACAAAAGAAACTAAAATAAAATAATTAAATGAACGAGGAACGTCTGACTTCTTTTCTTCCTTACGTCGAAAGGTAATTATTGATTCACTGCTATCAATACAGTAATCATGCGCCTTATTATGAAAGAGTCACCTCTTCATAATATGATAACGTAAACAAAAATCATTAGTTTTTGGGCGGTTAAAAAGAGTAATTGAAAGAAAATCAAACGTTCTTCTACGCTGAAGACCGTTAAACTTAAAGGCTCGAGGAAAGATTTTTGGGGTCAGTACGAGGTTACTTCTTCTATTTGAGATTTTCCTATACAATTACAACGAGAACCCGTGACGATATCACGTCTTGTCTCCAGGTATTCTTGAAGTTTTGTGGATGATACAAATAGTCTAGTTTGATCCTGAGATGTACATTAAAACAGACTTGTTCGGTAACGTAACTGTAAAATTGACCCGGTTTAAGTTGGGTGTCGTTCCTCTGTAACCTTAAATTACATGTATCAGCCTTCACCCGAAACCTATTAAATGGCTTACCGCATGTCTGAGATTATGTCAGGACATATTCCAGGATTGCAGATCATGTTAGTGAGCGTTACCCCTGCCCATGGGATTTCGAGAATAGTCTTCCGTTCCATAATACATGCAGGCACACATATATATATATACATATAGCAATGACGTCAGACACCAAATTCTGAGGATTGCGAACCTTTAAAAAATTACTAGAAATACAAAATAAGGAAATAAAATGTCAGTTTGCCTATTACCAATACATAAAGGTAAACATGTGACTCCATCATATTGCCATGTCGTTCATTCATGACTTGCAAATGGTACAAAGATCAAAAGGATGAAAATCCTAACGTAAAGTCAAAACATGTGTAGAGATGCACCGATTTGGGTAAAAAAGGGTACATATAAACATTTTATAACGTTACATACAGTTTTTGCAGCAACCAGACATTTATTCTTAAGCCATTATTTCACGTCACCTTGTCAGAATAGATTCATTCCAAATTCCTACGGTAGAGGACCCTGCATGCTCATATGTAGTACTTAAGGCTGAACAAATGAAAATATCAATGTTTTAAGTGACACGAATCATCGTAGAACATACATGTAACTAAAGTGAATGCTGACTGCGCAGCTCTTTCTCTAAGCTGTGAGCCTTCGGACAACTGGTACTGATAGTCAACCAACTTATTGTGTTATGGTCTCACCTGAAATAAAAAGAAATGAAGGACGTATATACAAGTTCTGTTTGTAAATGCAGAAAAACACATTTTTTTTCAGATGATAAACTGGCCTAGATCTACAAGATAGCTAACCTTGCTTTATATGATGTTATTATTTTGATATATGTGCTCCTTAGGAGCAGGTAATTAAGTGGATTACACAGCGTGGACTTTCATTATGATTTAATTATGATAACTCAAGTAGGATGACCTTTGATACTCGTTTCTATTCATTTCTAGTCAATTATCATTATTCTAGTCTAGGGGAGATAACCCTATATTGTAAAGTTTATTTCAATATATTTTTGCTGTATATCTGAAATTCCACAGTATTAATAAAGAGGGTCAATTTTTACGTCGCATTAACGTTTGCATGTGTATAGTTGCACACGCTTGATGTTTGGCTTGGCGGATGTGTGACAGGCTAATTCCAAAGGTTGATATTTCTTTATCATATATCGGCTCATATATGGGAAGTACACCTACACTTTGGTACCACAGGGTAGGCAATGGTAGACCATCTCATGTAAACCGGAATGGTCAGTTCTTTACTGTTTACCAGTTCGAGCTATTTTGTCCCCAGAATAAACCGGGGACAGGTGTTTTAAATATGGATAATAATACCAATTATAATATATGGGCTCAAGTATTGTAGAAATCACGCCGAGTTTCCTTTTTTATTCATCCACAATATTGTTAAACAGCTTCCAATATAACAGAATCGAAGATCTCGGATTCTATGCCTGCTCTGATGACAAAAACATTCAGAAGAACGTCTTGCCATTAAAAATCTATTTCATGCGAGATCGGAAGCGGTGAATACATCTCAGCCTGTACAAATACAAAATAATTTTCTACACGGAACTGTATGTATGAAACTCACAGCTGTAACAAGCGCAAATTTTTGCTTATAGTTAACATTTTACTGTGTGGAGATGTTGTATTGAATCCCGGCCCCAATGGACCCAAGTTTCCCTGCGGAACTGGTGAGAAATCTTTCAAAATTAAGCAATCAGCGCGGCATTCAATGTGACACATATGACAAATGGTACCACGCAAACTGCATGAATATAACAAAATCTGAATATTCTTTATTGAGCATTTCTAATAATGACTGGTTCTGCAGGAAATGTATATTTCCCTTTGCTTCTGATTATTTCTTGTTGGACAACCTATTATATCCACCGATAGTAACTGGTAAAAATGAGAGTAATCTTCCCTTACCGGAAGATAAACATTCGGACATCGGTAATGGTAACAGCAATACTACCAAAGATCAAGTGAACTAAAAGGACGGAATGAGGCGGATGCATATCACTTTCAGTGTTTTGTCAGAAAGGGTAACACTTAATCCATCTGAACGCTCGCTCCTTACTTCCAAAGATCAGTGAACTCCGTCTTATAGCTTCAAAGTCTCGAGCTTCGGTTATTGCCATTTCGGAATCATGGTTCGATGAATCAGTAACAGACTCTGACATTCATATTGACGGTTATTCTGTCACACGTAAAGATAGATCAAGAAATGACAGGGGAGTTTGTGTGCGAGAGGACCTGGCTTTTACCCCAAGGTTAGACATCACATTTGACAAAGAAGAAATCATGTTTATTGAACTTTTATTACCGAAGATTAAACCAATCTTTATACGGACATGTTACAGGCCTCCAAACCAAAGTGACTTTTTATTAAATATTGAGGAAATCCTTACTATGTTGAGAGCTGATTGTGAAATAACAATGTTGGGTGATTTTAATATTTGTTGGAATTATAAAGAAAATCAGATGTATAAAACTTATCACACCATATTAAACATGTTTGGATTTCATCAAATCATTCATGAAGCTACAAGAATTACTAATAACACATGTACCCTTTTAGATCACATTCTTTGTAATGATAAAGACAGAATCTGCCAGTCTGGCACTATCTCTATTGGTTTAAGTGATCGACTTCCTGCTTATTGTACAAGGAAAGTCACTAGGGGCTCAATTAAGAAACACAATACAGTGAAAATAAGATCTACACAAAATTACATTAAAGATCGCTTCAAAGAAAAGCTTCTTAATGCTTATTGGAAAAAATGTTTTTGTGCTCAGAGGCAGGAGGAATCTTGGTCAAAATTAAGAGAAATATTTATGAAAGTTTTGCATATTGTAGCTCCAGTCAAACAAATTAGACTGAAGCAGAGAACTAAACCGTGGATGAACTCAGATATTTTAGACAATATTCGTTTGAGATATACATTTTTGCATCAATATAAAAAAAAACACAATAATGAGACTTACTACAAAAAAAAAATCTTCTTAGAAATAAGATCCAAAGAAAAAGCAAAAAAGCAAAATCAGATTTTTTTCAAAACAAGATCGAAGGAAATCTTAACAAACCCAAAACACTGGCAACATTTTAAAGATCTCGGATATGAAAAAGAAAAACAATCCAATACCAACATTTCTTAAATACTGAGGATAAAAACTGTTTTGACGGTCATTCTATAGCCAATATTTTCAATAACTTTTTCACTACCATTGCCTCAAGCTTAGTTAGTAGACTACCTGATCCAAAGAATTTTTTAAATTCTGGCTCATATTTTTTTGATTTTTTACCAAACAAGAAATTCTAGAAATGTAAGTTTTCATCTGAAGTCAATTCCTGAAGGTTTTGTTCATAGAGAACTTTGCAATATCAACCCTTACAAAAACACCGGTCTAGACGGAAAATACCTGCTAGATTCTTGAAAGACGGGTCTGATGTATTGAACATTTCTAAAACTTTTCTCATTTATACATCCATAAATACTGGACCAAAATCGCCTTCATAACTCTAAGTTGTCCCACTGAGTTTCACCAAGTCAGAGAACTCTGTTACAGGACTCGGCGTTGGGCATCCCCATTCCCCTAGAAAAAGTAGGCCCTATCCGACTTCTTAGACATATAATTCAATTGTTGTAAAGAAACATGATTATTCATATTTTATAACGAAATAAAAACAATATTAAGATAGTATAAATATGGTTGTTATCGTCTGTTGTGATGGCTCTTGTCCGTGTTTTAGAAAGGCTCTGAATACGGTATATACATTGTATGACAAGGAAAACTCGAGCGCGTTAGTATAACAGGATGTTTTATTTCCCCACCATGTGTTCGATACAGCCCCATCAGGAAAGCTGTCTTAAAGATAAGGCATAATAAGATATCCTCCGACACCTCTCGCAACTTATATCGGAATATTGTTCTTCAATGGAAGAAAAACAGCCAGTAGGCAAATAGGCATTTTTAGATTTTGATTAGCATATTCATAAAAGATTTATATTTCAAATGTCATTTCTGGTACGTTAACAAACGGCTATTGGCAGTTTGAAAGGTTATGAAACGTTAAATGTCATACAACTATTATTTAGATTCACTAAAATGATATTTAATGTAAAAACGATATCTTTATCATCCTTAATTTATTTTGAAATGTCACACGCAAAATTACAAAGGTCGACAGTTGAATGTCCCCGTGAATGTACTGAGGTATTTGAGACCAAACTCGGGGGAACTTGCAAGCTTTTCTGTACTCACCATGCATACTGCCTTAGTTTTTGGAATGATGCTATGTGTTCTTTCCGAAGGAAACGTCATCGATCAGACACCAGGTAAGTTGGTGTGAATATGTGTCAGGACGTTGACCTGGAATTGATATTAGTCTTTATATATATTTAATAAAAATACATTTTTTTAAACCTGTAAGCTAATACACCCAAATTTAAAACGAACACCTGTAAAATTTATTTTATAGATTTCATAGTGTTAACTTTTGGAAATGAGGTACTTAAGAGTTTGATAACATACTTCCTTAAGTAATCTATGAATCAGCATGAGAAACAATGCTATTTGAGAATTAGCTGATAAGACAATACATGAACGACCTCTCTAAGAGTCACCCTCGAAATGACAAGGGCTACACTCTCTTACATCATCTGTACAGATTGTAAGTGGGCTGGACCACATAAATTTCGAGGATGACTAAATGTATATCTAAAGAGAATATATAATAACATGATTATGCGAAATTCCTTTTTGTCACTTATGATAGAGGTTATTTTCATTCTGAGCCCAAATAAATCTTGCATGTAAAAAACCGATTATAATGCATTTTTGACACCAAGTCCATCACGGTGGTGCATCTGGCCTTGATCTTATGTCATTTTTCCTCCCTCATGAAAACCTCATGAATGACTAAATTATAGCCAAACATAGCTATTATTGCCCTATTTTGTATACACATAACCAGCAAAATGTTGTATGAGATTGTTTAAAACTGTTTTGTGTATGCTTTTATTAACTTTATGTTACTTATCATCAAATTGTTTTTTTTTTTACATTATCGCTTGCCAGTAAGCCATCTTGCTGTGACTCGGAGGTTCATCACTGTCAACGCTGGAGACAACACTTACTATGGGGACATGTCGCTTAATTCGGGAGGAATCAGACCTATATTACAAAGATTAGAGAGTGATCTCCTGTTTGACATTTCCCTGTACGACCGAATAACAATCGAGGAGAATGGAGAATTTGAGGTTAACGACGAAGGAGCATACAGTGCTGTGTCAGGTACGCTGCGATACTATATTTATAAAAGGGTACGAGGGAAATTATTAACTGATAAATTAACAAGGTCCATTTTAACTGTATCCCACATATGTCCGAGTTTAATTTGTGTTTCAAATTCACCACGTATTGACCGATTAAATGTATACATGCTATACGTACATACACATATTACTGTAGTATGTCGTTATCTGCCCAGGTGACAAGGTGATGCTGTGGGTATTGGATCGGTCAACTGCCCGGTTCCATAACGCATTGACCCTTATGTTTGGTAATGGCCAGGTAGGTGTACTGAAACGTCTTTTCACGAACCACTTTAGTGGTCAGAGTTGTATCAGGAATGATGTCGTTTAAGACAGGTGTAGGTTGTCTTTGTACCAAATGACTTCGATTGCATTTGATTGTGAACATACGATTACGGCTGAAAATTATTTTTGTATATTCTAAGTATTCCCGTAGCATAACCAAAAAGTCTAACTATACATTGAAAATACAATCAACAACAGTGTTTTAAGCGTATAGAAATCAGTGGGGTTAGACCAGGAAGGATTCTAACCCTAGACCTCAGGCACCGAATGTTCAAAGATTGGCTAGCTTTAATCAGTGGCGATGAAATATTCAAATTGTTGCCAATAACAAACAATGGATTTCAAAGCAAAATTAATAGAAACAATACACAACATACTTATTTGTCTCAACCAATCTACATAGTGAAGAAGTTTTTGATGTTGTATGCATATTTTCAAATTGTCCCTTGACCACTGGCTATCGCTAACTAACCGTTGAGCAACCGGGGACAGGTTGTTACACTGTCACTCTTAGTGGTCAACTAAAGGACGTTGGCCATTGTACTAAAACGAAATTAAGAGCAGGTTATTGCATATACGAAAATTAAAGTGAAATTCTCCATTGTTTTGCCTGCTGTTAAATGTTCATTTAGGAACGTTTTGAATATCGGATTTAAATAGGTCTGACGATATGTAACACAGTCCAAGTTTTAGACAAGATATTTGTAACTTGTTTGTACATGTACATAGGTACGAAATAAACTCTGCTGTGCTTTCATCGGGAGATGCACTCAATCGTGATAACCTTTAATTATAGCATAGGACAATGATGTTTCAAATTTCAAACAAATAGATAACAATGTATTTTATATAACTGTAACCCGCTTAATAGCAATGCACTTGATGACTGAGTCAAACTATTGTATTTTTACAGGAGTTTTCACGATTCATGCGAGTGCTGCACCAGTACACCGACACGTAAACAACCACATATCCAATCAAGTTTGCGCTGTTCTGCGTCACATCTTTTGTCTCCTTCATGTATTTCTGTATTTGTTGACACATTTAAATTGTTCCACAAACTGACGGAATTTGTCGTTGATACTGAAATACCAAAAAAGATGAGCCAGATACAAACAAACATGATGTGAATAATATTATGCTGGAATGTCACGAGATTTTACATTGTACGGCCAGTTTCAGCTGGCAATTGGTGACATTTAGATTTAACAGGCCGTTTGATGTTGTGGATATGAAGCAAAATGCTAACACGAATATTTATAAATGTCAGAGGTTATTTTAAGGAATGATTATATATATTCCGTTCTGCACGTCCATGCCTGAATGTCACTAAGGTAGTTTTATCAATGGTATCTAACTGCAGCTTTGGACCTATTTAAGTCATGAAAGAACGTGGAACGAATAAGTTCAGCATTGTTCTGCTTTGTAAATAATTATTACATAGACACTATAACGCTATTAGAAGTGGAGTACGGGATTTGGGGATCAGTGCATCCTTCGTCAGGAACACACGTTCGATAGTACAAGGGTTTATCGTTTAAACGTTCGTACAATCCGACGTGGCTTTTCGACGATGCAGTGCATCATTTCGACAGTATTCAATTACTTTAGATCTAATGAGTAAAAATAAAGGCAACATTTACATGTAGGTAAAGGTCCAAATATCTAAATGTAAGCTATTTGATATTATATAACTTTCCCCTTTCCCTATCTATAAACTTTTCCTGAGACATGCTATATAAAAACGCTTATTAATATCCCCATCCTTCTTTCTCCTTTGTGTACAAAGTTACTCCATGCTTCAAGTGAGAGCTATTGATAAAATTTATATTCAAACTGAAAACGAAAATGTATTCCATGTACTCATCATGATGTTTAATATGACACTCCAAACCTATATCTACAATGTACCCGGTAAGCCTAGGCATGTCAAACAAAAACAGGACTGAGCAAATAAAAGCTTAGTTGTATTGTAAATGTGGAAATATTGTCGATTTCGAGTATTATGAACACTATAAAGCATTTATCTGCATTACTTCGCCTGCAAATGCCATATTATATATAAGATGTACTGTAACAAAGATACATGAAAAAATATTTCCTCAACGGACGAAAAATATATATAACAATGTTAAAAATAAATAAAGGCCTAGGTTGGTTAATGTACCTCAAAAATGAGTAGTTATGATTAAGCGAACCACTATTAAAGAATTCCGTTTTAAAATGAAATATGATTTTTTTTTTTAAAGTTTGCCACAGTGTCAACAACAAGTCGGAACTTGATATCGACAGAAAAAGACGACATAAACTGATGAAACACCTACAACTGAGGACAGTATTACACGCCAAATGCCACCCAACATCGACTGAAATGGGTGTATTCTATGCCTATTCGAGTTATCTCTCTTCCTATATCAGATACAATTCCTTCCTCGCTCACAAAGAAATTAATGTAATCGGCTTGATTTTGCCGTTTGCTATATCATTATATGTGTTATTGGCAATGCTAATGATTCAACTGAACGTTCAGGATTCAAATCATTTTCTTGGTAAATTTATTCTTATAATGTATACTGTTTTATGTACTTAAAACAGTGTTATTATACTTCTGTTGTACCTATAATTAAACTGTAAACCGGGAAATATTCGCCGCAGTCTACTTTTCGCCTGTCTTAATCAGGGCGACTTTATCATGACAGCAAATATAAGTATACAGCATACAATATATAGGAAGAGTTTGTGAAAGGCATACTAACCTCTTGGCGAATATAGAATTTCACAGTAAAGGGCAAATATTCGACTGGACGAAAGTTTCCAGGAATACACTTAGTTTGTCAAGTTACAGTTATCATGATCCAAGACATGTTCGTTGTTAAGATGCATACGATATTTAATACTAGTACAATTTCTTGGTGTTTTCCCCTGACCCATGTAAGTACGGGTTTTATTACAGAATATTCCAACACTAGCGCTCCCTTCCCTATTTATGAACCTTCCTTATATTGTTTGTCACTTGATTTAATATAACCGTTGTTAGCTAAGGCGTTAGCCGCCAGCTATTGGTATTACTTTAGTTAATGAGCTCAAGAAATTTATAAATGTCGATTTCACACAGACGACCTCTAGCGGTACCCACTGGTACTAAATTGAATCATATACCGGACCTACTGTCTTTATTATGCGTAACTTTGGACTCAAATGCACTTGAATGGCTTGTAAATATCATTCCTTTCCTTTGTAGAACATATGATCTTATCACAACGTCGTATTCTTATTGAAAATGCACCCTGTTTATCTCAATCGGGAACTGCTACTTGACTGTAGGTCATGCATGCTACACGCAACTTCCGGTAAAAATACTTCAGTTAATGAGCTCAGATATTCATAAACGAGACATAACGTCACCTTCTAGTAATACTAAACAAACTGCAAATAAAATCCATTACCACGGACTCAAGTTCACTCAAACGTCATTGGATATAATCTTATTCTTAGTTAGAACTAAGTATCCTTCTAAAACTTCGTATTTACTCTTGGAACTGTCGCTGGATTAACCCTTTACACGGAAATATTGTCCTGTGATTGGCTAAAATTGGTGACATTTACGTCCCTGTTTACAATTATATATTGCGTGGTCAGAGCTATGAAGCGGTCCTGTTCCAACTAACTGAGGATAATCAAAAGTGCTAATCAGTAATAATATATCTGATTCACGCTTCATATGATTATAATGTTATCAAAATATTGCATATTCGTTCATCGTTAAAATAACAAATCCTTACTAAAAACTCTAAAAAAAGAAACGACGGCCATGTTAGATCACGCGTGATGTTATCCGTTTCCTTATATGGCCTTCACGGCCAAATATAGTATTACTACTGATGCGGTCATGTTTACTACAATTTCCATATTTGGTCATGACACCCATATTTAGACGTCTGACCTATATCGGAAAGATTGAGGAAGTTTCCAACATGGCAGTCAATTAGGATTTCGCTTGCACTTGTTACGTAAACTTGATAATTTAACGAAATATAAGGCGGAGTATAACTTACAATTATGTAGGAGATCAACATAAAAAGTTCATATTACAAACCTATTAATGGATACGGATCCTGTCAATTAATTCTAAAATCGCCTCCGTGTGATTCACACCAGGCTTGCCTAACTAAAATGGGATCAACCGGCCGGGGCAGATGAGACCGGGAATCATGTTAGAACTAGCCACTGTCCTTCTCTAGTTCCATATTGGTATTCTAACCTGAAGGCTTTTTTTACCTTCGCAGTATTATCATTTTGTTCTATTTTCATCATAAGATATGCTATTGCATTTTTATATCGCCTTCTCGCTAATTACAGCTCAGCCAGAAACGAAAATATGCTCCGATAGGCCTACATTTTATATGTCTGTTGGTGTGATTTGTGTTTTTCGTTTATTGAAGTATTACCATATAACAGGACTCTTTTATTTCAATATACACAAAAACAACAACACCTTCGGAATGATTTCAGACATATACTGCGGGAAAACACGAGTGATCTCCCTTACATTTAGACATGCGCACATTTTACTTTCGTTTTGTGTAGGCCTAGACATCATTCGCAACGCGAAGCGGAAAAGACGAAAATGCAGGCGAGTGTTGACTTAATGTTAGGCATGTTGTTTAAGCAGCATTGACAATGAACAATATACATACACTTCTGCAACGTTTACCTACTACTGATTCATAAATAAGGCTATGTATCCCGATTTCGGTGACTTGTGGCCAAGCATGCGGCCGAAGCCGCAGAGAATGGCGCATGTTGTCAGCGGCGATGACAAAAAGGAAGGTGCTTCTACGGTATGTATAGCAGTTATTATGCAAAAACAAACATAATAAACGGACGTTTTACTCTAGTGAATTACAGCGTCACGAGGAACGTCTTTCTCCAGACGTGTTGCAAAATTTTCGAACTGCTTAGTTGCAAACTGATTTCACTTAAGCGTTGTTTGTGAGGATATTTGGCCTTACATTTCTTCTCATTCAGTTAAAAAAAAACATGTTATAAACATTGTATTATTAGATTCATTGTGATGTTGGCTTTCATTGAAGTTTCAATTGTTATACTACTTGATGTTTTGGAAACTTAAACAAGTATAGTAGTTCTAAATATTATGAAATGACAGAAACATTAGGCCAAACAAATTACTTGTGTTTCTACTATCAGAAAAAAATAGGGTAGGTATGTATTAGCTAGGCATTTTATTGTTAATTTGAAAAATATCTTTACTGCGCTAATATAGAGCAGGAGTTCTGACTTTAACAGTGCATATAAAAACTTAAGGGTATTGTAGAACACAAATCTGAGATAAGTCTGGTTAACCACACTGGTGTCGAACACACCAATAAGTATAGTGTGTATAATATATCATAGTTTATACACATCATATTACTATTAGTGTGTCCAGTATCTGTGGGGTTAGCATAAACTCAATATTTGTTTTAAACTTTTAATTGGCCTTATATAATGATCATTTATAGGTCAGACAGGGTTTGGTTTCCAATTCGGAAACTAGACCTGTTAAAACAGTTATCATTTGTAATTTAGAGATTAAATATTTCTAAGCAGAAAAAAATGAACTATAAATATTTTTCAACCTTTTCTGAGTTGTACAATTTTAGAGTATCTTCTGTCTGAAATCTGAACATAACTTGTTTTATGATAAATGTGTAAAACAATTCCTCATACTGGGGTAAAGTTTTTCTATATATAGTCCCAAAAACTACAGATAAAATCCTTGAGCACGTACAAGATACAAAAATATATATTTTACGTCCATTTTGCAAAACATACAACATAAGCTACAAAGACAAAACATGAGTATAATAACAGAGACCAAAATATTACAACATGGAAAAATAAAATAAAAACATGTATGTACATGTAGTATACTGTAAGCTCAGAAAAAGAGTTTATCACTTGGAAAGCACTTAATAGGCACATTGAACACGGTAAGCACATCAGCACATGGTAATTTAAGCACATTTAGAACATTTGCATACAGCACATAAAAAACAAAACCATAACATGGAAAGCTTATTAGCACATAGTAGGCACATTTGCACATTGTAAGCAAAATAAAGGAGTGCAATGGACATCTCCATGTTTCCTGGTTAATTTCTTCTTTATGGAAACAACCAGGGGAGAGTGATGTTCTGCTTCATCTTTTGTATTAATGAAAACCGTGAATATCTAAGTGCGTGTGTTTAAACTAATTTTGTTTTGTTTTTACTGGTACCTTTTTATGTACACATGTTTTACCACCTAAGGAATTAGATGTCTTAAGCCCCCATATGATGTGCTGTTATAAGTTGAATTTAATGTACATTTTGTTTATATTTAGTTCTGCTACCAAAGAGATTGACTTATTGAAATGTTTTTGAAACATTTTAATGAACTCCTCAGCTTTAATGCCTTATTTCTCACTATACAAGCTCATATTGCTATGCCTCCTATTTGTTTGAATATCATCTCTAAACATTATTGCTGGTGCAGAAATTATATGGTAACTATGTTCTATTTTAGGGGGGGAAAGCAATCAATATTACAACAGACAGGGATGGTTATTGATGGGAGAAAGGAGGATGAGAAATAGGAACTGTACCAACTCTCTCATACCTTTGAGGACTTCATGAACTTTTTCAAAAGGCTGCAAGAACTATACCAACAGTGACATGACATTTTGAAATCTGTCAGTTACTTTATAGAGGAGGAACCTCTGACTAAATCATTTTCTCTCAGACACATGAAAGCCGAGTCCACAGATCCTTCCATCAGCGAATAGTTCAAATGTAGTTCAAATGCTTTCCTCGCAAACTTTTCCTTAATGGAGAAGTCAGTGATCTTTACTTGGAACAGATTGAATCTGTGAATATTGATGCTGAAAGCCTGATGAATGTGATTGAACAGCCCCTACTTGATGCTGAAACCCTGATGAATGTGATTGAACACCCACTACTGACTAAGGGCACAAATGTTGGAAACAACGTTTGTTTTGATCAATATAACACTATGGGTGGTGGGAGCAAATTGGAAAAAAAATTAAAAGTATGTTTTTAAAGATAGAAATACTGGTCATGGCTTCCTTTTAGTTTTTGTCCAATGAATTAAAAGTCAACGCAAATGTTAAGTAGTAAAAGAAATGTAAGATCCCTGGTATACATTGTACTTTTAACAATGCTTATGATCAATATCAATAAAATAAAATAAAAGTTATAATATGTAACTTGATATTTGTTAACTTCGCTCGATTTTACT